CCTGGTTCATACCATTCTCGATTACTAACAGAAAAACGTCGCGCAGAACAGTACATCAAATTGTAACAGTACTACAAAGCACAGGTTTTTATCAAGCCAATGAAATTCAGTAGAAATGGTTTACGGGTTATGATCTTTTGCGAATTGTAGCCAGAATTAAAAGTAAAAGTTAAATGATATTTGGAAATAAAAGCCATTCTCCAACATCCGTTTGTTATCGTGGTAGAACATTCTTGGTCAAAAAAGAAAGGTTTTAATCAGTGAAAAGTTTGCGACTCAATTAAATAAAGATTACTGTTGAAATGTCGCCAATAAATGAACACCTTGCATGTTGTGTAATATAACTAGGATCCAAATTTTGGGCTTGGGTTTGCTTAAATAAATTGCAGCAATGGGTGCCTGAAAATTGGATGCTGATGTTCAAATTTGGAGATTTTTGACTAATCTCATAGCTAATTTTAAGTAAAAACAGGTTATTTAATCTGGACTTAATCCAACGCTTTTTTCTAAATTTGAATAAAAAAACTCAAGTCAATTTGAAGATGCAATTTGTTACAAATATGGTATAATTGTTTTTGAAAGAGGTTTACATGAATGCAACTTATAGAAACCAACTGCAATCTTAATCTCAATAAAAAATAAAGAAATGCSCACAGCTATAAAGCTTGACAAAAGATAAAAAAATGATTCACAATAATTGAATGGTTCAGAAGCAAAATGGTGTGAGTGATATTGAGCTCAATGTTTTGACTGGTATCATTTAAATATAAAAACAGCAAAACTATGCAAAGGATCTATGGTATTAATGCTAAAAATTAAGGTCTTGTTTTGGGTAAAATATACATATTTTTGTGAAAATCTGATTTTAAATTGATTTTTTTGAATAAATGTTTGAACACTTGGATTTTCTTTGAATTAAAAAAAAGAGATTAAAGTAAAAGCAATAAATTTTTAATAGCCAATAGTAACAAGAAAATAAAATAAAACAGAGTCTGATGTCAAGACAGTTATTTATTTTTTATAATTTCAAAACTTTTCTACTTGTAGGTTTATTATCTATTCTTTTTCTTTTTAAATTGTCAGTCTTTTCAAAACAAATATTATCTAAAACTGGTTTAGCAGTTGTATTGATAATTAAGCGGAGTACTGTTAATGAATGAGGTGAACATTGAAACATTTTGTTATTTAGCAAATAAGGATAAATAGCCTCACTCAATTGTTGACAAGTTTTTGTTGTTGTTATGTAAGGTAGCATTTCCTGTATTATATCTGCAACTCTTTTGATGAGTGATACAAATGGTCGGCTAGGATAAAGTAATCCACCATGGTCTTGAAGTACTATGASCTTCATTAGAGGTCCTGGGACTGTTTGCGACATTAGTGGAGTAAGGCATGCATCACAGTGGAATGTATCATTAATTTTTTTAACAATATATCCGGCTAAGAAAGCAACAGAAGCAGAATAAATATCCTCTTCACATTCAACGTCATCATGCAAGCTTTTAAGTTGGATCTCCACTTCTTTGGGTAGTGTAAGTTTCAAATTTGCTCTGTCCAAAATTTGCATCGTGGGCATTAAATTAGTGTGGCTGATAAAGGTCACGTCATGAGATATATTTGCCGATTTTGATGCTTTGACAATGCCACATTTTAAAATTTGTCGTACAGCATACTCCGCTGCTCTCGCATCAGTTGCGTCATTACAGCCTCCTTTTAATCGTACATGAGAAAACATTCCCTCAAGAGCATCACTGCTGAATGATCTTGTAAGTACATAATAAAATCCAACCTGGTCTAAAAGAAATTTAATTGACAAATATGTACTTTGGGCTGTGAATTTTATAGCATGAGCGGTTTCCTTTGATAGCCCCTTTAAGCAAGCCTCAGAAGAACACTTTTGGATGTCATCAATGTATTCAGGGAGAACATTATTTAGCCAATGTAAACGCTGATCTGATATGTGAGTATAAGGGGCAACAGAACTATCTAGTGCGCAGATATAGTGTGTTTTATTTGAGACATTATGTATTTGGAAAAAGTAATACATATTCTCCATGAATTTTACCGTGTTCCCTACAAGAGAAAACTCGTCATTTCCATTTTCTTGTAAAAATTTCAACGATGTTGTCACTGCTGGCGAAAAGATCTGAATTGCCCTTAACACATTCATTTTCTCGAAATTTGAAGGAAATAAATGTTTTTTTGATAAATATCTTACTGGTTTTATTGGCATTTCTTTCTGAAGTTCGTATAAGGTTCGTAAATACGACGATGAAATCGTACCTTCTGAAGTGCACATATCACCAGCCAAAAACCAATTTCTAACATTTTTTAAAACGTGACAAAAATCGAAACTTAAAAAAATTGGCATATTTTCTAAAAATGGATGGTCAATTTGGTGTTTCATTAATCCTCCACCGAGGATTTTAAAAAGTGCTACATTTGAAGATGCATTATCTGTAACGATCCTTAAAACTATAAACCCACAATGAGTTAATAGTTTCAATACGTCTAACGTTAATTTATGAAAATTTGCTGTTGTTAACATTTCATGGAAAAAATATCCTGCAGGAATAGTGTACTTTGTAGACAATCCGTGTATTACGAAACATAACATTTTATTGGCTATTTTCGGTTTTTCGCTAATAACGTTTGATCGCGAAGTATCGAGTCCAAATACAGTATCTTCACTTCGACTGTAGGATACTTTTGGTTGAATCGACATGTCATCGATGATCAATGAACAGATTCTTTCAATTGGTTTAAGATTTGAAATTTCAGCACATAAACGTTGTTGTATCAACTCGTTTTTACTATGACATTTTCCCAGGTACCTATTTATTGACGAGTAAGATGGTATTCTAATTACGTTATTGTGGCAAAAATTGTATCCCTTTGGTGACGAATACCTCCAAATAGTACACAACCTTACTGATATCTCCGACCATCTTGGCTTCCTGCTGCCGTAGTTATTTATAATATCGATAAGAAAAACCGCTTTTTCATCTAATTGCTCCGCGTCCCCTACAATTTTGTTTACAGCAGATAAAACCTTAGCATTTTTCTTTTTCTCTTCATCTATTTTTTTAATTTTTTCATTTGCCCGTTCTAATTTTCTAGTTAAAATTTTAATTTGCCTTTGCATATTCGTAACTTGTTCACACGAAATTAAATTTACTTGCGAGGATTGTGATATTTTTGATTCGTAGTGTAAAGGGAAACAATTTAGAGAAGCTTCTTGGTCAGTACCACCGAGATTAACAGGATTCTTAAAATTGCAAAAGTGTTAAGGAAGGATAATATGAAACAGGACAATTATCTTACAGGTAAGGACAGGAAAGGCACAGCATCTTTGCTTAATTTATGAGAACGTCCTGTACTTGAGCTACAAATATATTTGTTCTCAAAATGTTCGCAACAAATTACCGTGTAATCTGAAATTAGTTTTGTATCTGAAACCATCAAAATAATGTCAGTATAAAAGATAAACATTTACTAAGAGCGTTTACGGAGATAGAATAAATAACTAACCATATTTTTCTTTTAATATGTCAATCCATTGTCGACGCATTTTGAAATTACTGGGAATTTGAAACAATGGTCCATTTCGATTTCCACAAATGAAACACTTTTTGCCCATTATAATTTTTAAGATGCAGCAAAAATGTCGAATGTCGATGAAAAATTGAAAAATGAATCCTTTTAACTGTCAAACATGACAAGATGAGACCTAATCTCTAAATTTTATTTTAATTTTAATCTACTGATGTCGCTAGTAGAGGAACGTTTCATGGATTGCTTTCTAGGCCCGCAAATTTGATGCTTATGGAAAGGCCGTATACGCTAGTATGAATGGAGTCGGCGATGATACAGAGTGACCCAGGGGTGTGTGCATGCTCAACAACTTTTTTTTTATCGAAGTTATCGCCATGATTTTTTTTAAAGGATAGATACAACAATGAGGCACATTATAAAAATATTTCTATTCATATACAGGATGTCCCAAATATGATACACGATGTCACAAATATGATACACAACAAAGTTCTGTTTTTTTTTAATGAAAACCCCAATTTTTTATTACATTTCTGGATTCGCCACTAAATTGTCAATATAACGCACCTTGGTCTCTTATTAGACTTACTGCAATAGTTTTTGACTTATGCCAATTTATGTGTCAAAATTACATCGTACATAGACCCACAAAAAAATTCATAACTTCAAAATTATTCAAGATAATTTAACCAACTTTTTTCCAGTTGATTCCTTAAGCTTTAGCGCGTCTTCTGAGATAAAGGCAAACTCGGAGTCGATGTTCGCGTACTACGATTTTTTGAAAATAACAAAAAATCGAGTTATTGCCACTTGTATTTTGTAATTTTCAAAAAATCGTAGTAGGCGATGGAACATCAACTCCGAGTTTGTCTTTTTCTTAAAAAAAGTGCCAAAGCTTAAGAAATCGACTGGAAAAAAATTGGTTAAGTTGTCTTGAATAGTTTTGAAGTTATGAATTTTTTTGTGGGTCTATGCACGATGCAATTTTGTCACATAAATTGGCATAAGTCAAAAACTATTGCAGGTAAGTCTAAGAAACCAAGGTGCGTTATATTGACAATTTAGTGGTGAATCCAGAAATGTAATAAGAAATTGGGGTTTTCATTAAAAAAAAACAGAACTTTGTTGTGTATCATATTTGGGACATCCTGTATATGGATAGAAATATTTTTATAATGTGCCTCATTGATGGATCTATCGTTTAAAAAAAAACCATGTCGATAACTTGGATTGAAAAAAAGTTATAGAGCGTGCACGAACCCCTGGGGTCACCCTGTATATCATTTAAAAGTAAAGAGACTAAAATTTGAGGCACAAAATGCGAATGAACTGTTTAGACAGTTAGTGTTCCGAATTTAACATTTATTTTGAAACTTACACATTTGTTTTTTAGAAATAAGGTACGTTTTTCCCAATATTTGATCATTTGTTTCTTTTTTGTTCAGCTGGAGCAATAAATTGTTACCAGTGTTCAGGTAGTGATCCAAAAGAACCATTCCAATGCAACGAATGGCTCAGTAGCGATATTGACATAAGCCCAGAGCCATGTGACAACGTCTATGACGCAAAATACTGTATCAAACACATTGGCAGATTTGAAGGTATAAACTATTGCTTTGGATGGTTGGTTTGCTGGCAACTTACTGTACTAACACACGCAATTTAATTTTGTCATTTCTCATTGTTTCTACTAACTCTAACAAAACTAACTTTTTTTCATCGGTTGTTTGGGATGACCATAGCTTCAACGCTTTCGTGCTATCAATGTGCTGCTCATGCAACGATAGACTGTTCTGATGGGATGATTCATTCCGGTGGTATACAACCAGAAAGTTGCAACGACGTCTTTGAAGCACAATATTGTATAAAATCGACCAGCTTGGATGGTAATTGGGTTTAATAATACTCCAAATTGTTTTTAGAGTATACTGTAATATACATTTTTTTATATTTTTCAGGAGGAATTGGCGCTAAAAGATTTTGTTCCTCTTTGGATTTGGGGAATTACTGCAATTACGTCAAACAACCTGGTGACGTTTTATCATATCGAACATGCGTATTTACATGTACTGGCGATGGCTGCAACCCATCAAGTACTATCACACCCAGCAGTGTTCTTTTCTTCACTTCTGTTCTTATTTTTCTTTATACAATTGTAATTAGGTAGATTAGATTTATTGAGAGAGACTTTATTTTCATACAACGTAAAAAGCAACTGATGTAAAGGTACAAAAGCCTGCTTAAAGCTAAATTTGTTCAAATATTCTTAAACTGAAGCACACTTATTCAGCTTTTGTCAGTGAACAACAAACTATAATAATGTATGTATTACGAACTGTAGTTTTATAATAAATGTGACAAAAAATATAATGTATGTGCATTGCATACTTTTCTCCCTTCTATATGAATACAAAAGCTACGCCGACTACTGATTAATTAAAATACTGATTTGGCTGCAAAAATACCTATACTACTTATAAAACTAAATTTGCTTCAACTATTTTTAACAATTAGAACATGACTGAGTTAAGTCAACAACTCTTATGACATAAACACAAAATAACTTAACACTGATACGTTATCACATAAAAGAATAACTTAATTGGTAACAATAAAATAAAAAATTGTGCATACAATTATTTCTGATTTTGTAATTTCTTGACCATTTCTTCCAGTTCTTTCACACGTCGTTCACTAAGAGCCAGTTGTTTTTTGACTTTTCTCAATTCTTCCGACTGTTGCTTGAAAGCTACTTTCAACTAAAAATGACAAAGTCTACAAATCGAGTACAATTTTAAATTGAAAAACTTACGTCGTGTTCAGTACTAATATTATCTCCCATACTGTTAATTTCCTTAATTAAAGGAATATCATTATTAACCTCCACGTGCCCAAACCTTTGTTGCAACTGCTGAAATTTGGTAGTTTGATTTGTAGTCGTTTTTTTATTCTTCTCTTCAATTAAATCTTTCGGTCTGTAATCAGGGATTGTTTCAGTTGAAAGAAATGCAAATTTCATTTTGTTGTTTTGTGAAGCCACGACAGGCGCACCAGGTTTGTACACTCTGGGTTTATAGGTGGTGATATTTCCACCCAATTTCATAGACATTAAAATAGGATTGGCGTTTAAACCTTTGATCCATTCTTGAGCAGACAAAGCCGGCTTTGGAGCAGCAGTGTCAGGATACAAATCTTCATGGAACTGATCGCTTTTTCTAGGGACGATCATGCTGATAGGTTCGCAGATACCTTTGATCGCATGAAGCTTGTAAAAACGGAAAATCTCGCATATGTTGATGTTTAGACCGCGTTTAGGCATTATTCCTAATCCTCGCTGGAATAAAATACAAATAGAATTATTGTCATAAATTACAAAATTGTTCTACCTGAGGATTTCCAGAAAGAAACTGACTGAGAAAATGTATGTAAGGTGCTTCGTCTGTAATCTCGTAATATCTAATATTGCCATCGCCCTTGCCAGCAAGAAACACAATATTAGTATCACAATCGTAGAAAGGAAAAACAACACCTGAAGAACTATCGATAGTATCAATTGTCAACGGTTTACTTAAATCGTTTTGATCCCAAATCGAATACTGACGATCGGAATGTCGTGAAAAACCGGTGGTTAGTAAACGACCGCTCGAACCCAAAAATGTCACTTTGCTAGCTTTGGAACCAGCATGACAAACTCCCTCCTAAAAAAACCACTTCAGTTTTGTTTTCTTTTTTCAATGCTGATTTAATTTACACTTTTAACTATGCCACTTCTCGGTTCAATTACCCTCAATTTCTTGTCCTTGCATGTCGTTGTTAGAAGACTACCATCCCGGTTCAGTGACATTGAATAGATAACGTCTGGATGACAGTCTATTACATTTACCGTTTCTCCTTTTTCTATGTCCCAAATGATCACCTGTAAAAGTAATTGATTATTTAGTTGCCTCTAATAGATTTCAAGAAAGCGAAAGAAGACACTTTCTTTTTAATCAGATTACTTGTAAGGAAAAATCAAGATTTCTAAAACTTTTTCTAATAAGTGACAAATATACTACCAAATGATCGAATCCAGCACTGAAAAGTATGTTTTCAGCACAGGGATGCCACTCAATATAGGCCACTCTTCTTTTATGCCCTTGAAGTTCTACCAGCCACTCGGTCAAATGCATCGATAGACCTCCATCAGGAATATGCCATAATTTAATCTAGAAATCATTTTATCCCCAAAACATTACAATTTTTCAAATGTACACTCAGAAAAGTTGAAAATGACGTGTCCATAAACCGACCCTCATCACTTGGGTCCTCCGACCTAACCGCAAGGGGAAAGTAATAAAAATGCTTTTGCATTTAGCCTCAGGATTTCTTTTAAGCAAATCTTGTCATGTTTTTATTTCATTATTAATAATTATTATAATTAAGGCTGTGTAAAATATGTCATACGATGTGTTATACTACAACGAGCAAATTTGTAACTTTAAAACGTCATTATTCTGTCTCAATGAAAAGAAAAGTAAATTTTCTCTTGCTTTTGGGACTTTTTTCTGATTTTTAAGTTTCGTCACAGTGGCGGTTTTATTTTTTCGACAAAAATGTAACTTTGACAATTAATTAATTATTGTAACCGGTATTAGCGGCAAAACAATAAAATGCTGCAAAGATTTGTTGCTCTCATTATAACTGAATATTAATTGTTTTTCAACACATTTAATTGGGATTCACTACTTCTACCAATCGTGAATTAGTTTTGAAAATCCTACTTCCCGTTGATATTTTCGTTGTTTGTTTTCATTTTGGTTCTTACAATCTCGAACATTAGTTGGTATTTCTGTGAAAAATAATAAAGCTTCAAAGCGATCCTTCATAGAATTATATTTAGATTATTTCAACTGGACGATCAGGTCAGAAATGAAATGAGGAATTCGAAATTATACGATGGGTTCCTCACTCGCCTCATCTAAATCCAATAGAAAATTTCTAGGGCAATATAGTTCGCGACTGGCCAAATTTTCAACCCAAAGTTCGCGAACGAAATTTAAAATAAAAAAATTGGCGCAGCACGTTAATAACGTTTGGGACTAATTCTGATACTCTCAAATTTGCCAAAATTTGGTGGATAGTATGCATGGACGACTTCAATATTTGTAAAATCTATAATTTTTGCCTTTTATTGAAATAAATAAAATTCATTATTTAAATTTAAAACAATTTTTGTCTTTAATTATAATAATTATTAATAAAATAATATCTCTTATTTTACATGAATGAGAGCAACAAATCTTTCAGAATGTTATTGTTTTGTCGATAATAATTATTTAATTAATTGTTAAAGTTACAATTCTGTCAAAAAAATAGAACCGCCAATATGGTGGGACTTGAAAAGAAGAGAAAAATCCCGAAATCAAGAAAAAATTTACTATTCTTTCCACTGAGACAGAATAATGACGTTTTAAAATTACAAATTTGCTCGTTTCAGTATAACACACCGTATAACACACTTTACACACGTTTAATTGTAATAATTATCATTAATGAAATAATATCACCTGACAAGATTTACTTAAAAGAAATGTTGAGGCTAAATGCAAAAGCATTTTTATTACTTTCTTCTCGCAGATGGTAAGAGGACCCAAATAATGAGGGTCGGTTTATAGAAACGTCATTTTCAACTTTTCTGAATGTACGTACCGTACAATCATCCGAGCAACTCGCAATTACGTTGTCATTAAAAGGATTCCATTTTATATCCAAAACCGGTCCAGTATGTCCTGTCACTCGACTAGCGTTAAAATCCAATCGGCCAGTCTTTAAAAAGTACCTCAGAATTAATAAAAACTAGGAAATAATAAAAAATACGTACACTTTCGATCGGTATTACTATAAAAGCACCACCACCGGCCACTTCGGTCACTAAAGCTACGAATTTTGGATTGACCGCACAAAATTGAGAATCATGTGCGTTTTTTGTTATATTAATGTTGTCGTAACATTTTTCTCTTTTGGCTGGCTCACCATACACGTGACGAAATTTCGAACTGCGAACTCCTCGAAACCATACCTGCAATATTAGTATTAGATTCTTTTGAAAGATTTTATCAAAAATATTTTTTCCCGTGTAAGGAAGTTTTAACAAATGTTTGGCATTTCTCAATACGAAACGTTAGATTATTTTTAACAGATTTAAGGCAATTTTAAGTCTTGTTGAGTCTATTTCGAAGAATGATAAACCAGAATCCACTCGTGAAATAAAGCGTTCGATTTACACTCAAACTCGTCAAATAAATAACTATTATTTGTATTGTATTGTATTGTATTTGTAATTATTTCTTGTATATTGGTAGTATTTTTTGCCATTTGAAACCAAGAAAATAAAATAATTCATCAATTTAGTAATCCAACGTGAAGAAACATGACTAATAATCTACTTGAACGAAACAAATAACAAAACTACATTATTTTTAATTATTAAATACAAGGTTTTTTTTCGTCTAATAATAGTACACAAATTAAACCAAATGAAGAATTAAACTCTTTAATAGAAACAAAGATGAATTTGCAATTAAACTTGTTTTGCGAGAAAACGATAGTTTAAAGGTCACAAACAGTTAAAAATTATAAAAACTCTGCTACCTTGTTTGTTGTCATGTCGGATTTTTTTGTTTTGTAAACACAATTCACTCTAAAATCAATGAGACTCGGAACATTACGCGGCGATCCACCATGTTCTTTAACTTATTTTGTTAAATAATTATCATTATCAATGTCAATAGAACTGATAAAACTTTTGTTGTGTATATGAGGTGCGGTTGTGTTTAACGCTTGAAGATAAACGAACGCTGTTACGAGCCGTATGTTATGACTCAGTACTTTTATTACACTTGCTAATTAATATAAATTTTATGTAAGAAGGAAAGCATCTACGAGGGCAATTTAGATATTATTGTTCCTGACATAGAAGGCGTTGATTTAAAGATTTGTCATTAACTCATTAATGTTACTGAATTGTTAATTAATTGTCATAAGTCACATTAATTTTGTTTGGTACCTATGTAAATAAAAAGTATGGAACTAAGCGTTTTTTTCGTAAACTAAGCCCTTTACGAAAAAAATAATTAGTGTAGCGTAAAGTACAATTAAAATGTGACCATTTATCAAGAATAACATTTTTCGAAATTTCTTTTAGTTTTCGAGTTCTGGAATCTTTTTTTTTAAATGGCAACCCACCATGGTAATTTTTTTAATTATGCCTATGTTGAAAAATAAAGAACTTCACCCTCCTAAAAGTCGTGTACTTCTATGTTAGGGACAGTAATATCTGAACTGCCCTTGTATGTTTAAAAATAACTTTAAGTGGAAACCTATAATACAATTACATTACTATAACTACAACAAACATTTTATTTTTTATGTTTTCATTGCAGCCCCAAAAACTGTATAATTCTGTCGCTATAAATACTTCAGAATTGATGAAGGAAAGACAAAATAACCTCGTAATATACTTATTAGTCATTGACCTATCCGAACAACTCTTCTTACAAACATCTGTGGGACATGACGGTCAGAATTAGGCTTGAGAATATTCTCATTGATTATATGTTCTCAAGAAATTTTATTCTCACATAATTTAATTTGAGAGATGGAATTAATCAAATAAATATTTCCTTTTTGCATAAATATAAAAAAATTAAATACAAATGATTTCACTGTGTTTAGTATACAAGGTGATTCTTTTAGGGCCTACATTAGAAACTTTTTAACTTCTAATGCAGATAGAAATTTGAAATTTTGTACACAACCCAAATCAACCAGTCTAAGTTCAAATAAACTATTTTCAAAATGGCTGAACTTCCGGAACTACGGGAAATTGGCGCCAACTTTGAAATTTTAAATGGTAACCACTTATTTTTATTGCATTTTTGAATTCTCCTCTTTAAACTAAGTAAAATGTACCTAGTTGTTAGTACTTAACTATCATAGTTTTTGACATATTTCAATTTTTTGGTCAAAATTTTCACTTGCAGGGGTTCATTCAAAACATCACAGCTCTTGAACCCTTTGCGATAAGTGAATATTTTTTGTTGCATTCGAAAACCAAAGGTTCGAAAAGTTTTCTAGAATTTTCAAAATTGTTGACTGTCAAATTGCAAGGCTAGTATGATTTTTTGAAAATGATCATTAACAAACAGCTATAACTCAGTTTTTTCAAATGAAATGACTCTATTTTCTCAACGGCAATCAAAACTACATCAATTTGTAGAAGGACTTTTATCAACATGTCCTATACCTATCTCTTATAGTTTTTGAAATAATCACAAAAAACATGTTAATCACGTAGGCTTTGGAAAAATACAATAAGATATACTTATAATTAATACAGATGTTCGATATGTTTACCATTTTCAAACAGTCCAAAACTCGATGGTGAACTGATTTGAGTGGCTTCCATTATTTCATTTGGTTGAAGATTATTAAATGCCGTCTCAATTCTTTGTAATTCCGGATGGGTGTTGTGTAGACTAATAAATCTTTAATTCGTTTTGATCATTTTCCAAAGGCTACGTGATTTACTATAAAAATAAAAAACAAAACCACGTTTTTCGTGATTATTTCAGAAACTGTAAGAGATGGATATAGGACATGTTGATAAAAGTGCTTCTACAAATCGATGTACTTTCGATTGCCGTTGAGAAAATGGGGTCATTTTATTTGAAAAAACTGAGTTATAGCTGTTTGTTACATATCATTTTCTAAAAATCATATAAGCTTTGCAATTTGACAGTTGACAGTTTTGAAAATTTTAGGAAACTCTTCGAACCTTTGGTTATCAAATGCAAGAAAAATTATTTACTTATTGCAAACGGTTCAAGAGCTGTAATGTTTTTAATAAACCTCTGCAAATGAAAATTTTGAGCAAAAAATTGACATATGGCAAAAACTATGATAGATAAGTACTAACAACTAGGTACATTTTACTCAGTTTGGAGAGGAGAATTCAAAAATGCAATAAAAATAATTGGTTACCATTTAAAATTTCAAAGTTGGCGCCAATTTCTCGTAGTTCCGGAAGTTCAGCCATTTTTTGAAAATAATTTAGTTGAACTCAGACTGGTTGATTTGGGTTGTGTACAAAATTTCAAATTTCTATCTGCATTAGAAGTTAAAAAGTTTCTAATATAGGCCCTAAAAGAATCACCTTGTATAATTTTGAATTAATAATTGCACACAAGCATAAATTTTAAAGTACATATGTGGAATGTGACCGAGGTCAAGTATGCAATTTTATTTTTCTTCCATTTGTTTCCAAGATAAGCAATGTTGATCTATCATAATAATAGTCGTCTGTTCGTTAAAACCAACATTGGTATCAGTTCTTTATCAATGTACATACATACTTCACAACTTATGCAAAAAAAGTTTACTACATACAGATAGATCAGAAAGTGGCTAGTACCTTGTAAAAAAAATACTTACAAGTAATTATGTAAAAAATTGTATACAGGCTGCGCCAGAACTCGCGCCCCAGAGAAAAATGTCAAGTAAGATAAGATACCAGGAACATGGAAAAAATGTTTAAAAAATTTGACATTTGACATTTTTTATATTTAATGATACAGATGGTTTTGTATATGTTTATTTATAATTATTTAGGAAAAGTACAAAAATTTTGCCAATAAAAACCACAAATAACATTAAACAGAGTTACAATTTAGGATACAGCTTTCTTGTATCCTCTTCTAATAGCCTGTAGCAAAAAAACTTGGAAAATTCTTTTTCCAACAGAAATAAATAAAGTCAATGTACAAAATTTAAACGCTCATAACTTCGAAATTTTTATAGATAAAATTTTTTTAACATTTTTTCCATGTTCCTGTTATCTTACTTTACATGGCATTTTTCTCTGGGGCGCGAGTTCTGGCGCCCTGTATACAGGCTGAATTATGAAAAACGATTTTAGCCCTACAGACAATGAAATGACGAAAATATTTTGATTGTACCCGTGTCTAAAAAGCTATTTTATATTATATTTATATTTAAACATAAACTGTTGAAAAGAAAGATATGGTGTCGCGAACTTTTTTAACGAAAATTTATTTCTCAGCAAAATTTTAGCTTTTTTTTCAATTTTTACGTGTTTTATTAAAAATAGGTTAAAATATTTTGATGGTATGCCAATTAAAAATAAATAGGTTATATTGGGACAAATTATATTTTCGATTTTAGTAACAAACTGAACAACTTAATAATTAATTACGAAGTGATCCAGAAAGACTGAGTCTGTTGGCAACAGATTTGAAAGTATTTTTGTTAATAATTTGAGACACTGCAACCGGCTTGTAATTAATTAGCATATTTTATTAAATACATGCGTTTAATTTCATAATAATTTTAATAATCCTTTCAAATAATCACTGCCAGGTTGCGAAGGTTTCAAAACATTTAGATATACAGGATGCGCCAAAACTCGCGCCCCAGAGAAAAATTTCAAGTTAGATAAGATTCCAGGAACATCTAAAACATATTTGAAAAATTCTCTGTCAAAAAATGTTGACATGTATTTTGTGACATTTGAGTTTTTTATGTGTCTATTTAATTATACTGATGTTTTTGTATATGTTTCTTTACAATTATTTAGTGAAGGTACAAAAATTTTGCCAATAAAAGCCACAAATAACATTGAACAGAGTTACAATTTAGGATACTTAGCTTTCTTGTATCCTCTTCTAATAGCCTGTAGCAAAAAAAAAATGGAAAATTATTTTCCCAGCAGAAATAAAGAGAGTCAAAGTACAAAATTTAAATTCTCATAACTTCAAAAATTTTTATAGATAATTTTTTTTAACATTTTTTCCATGTTCCTGGTATCTTACCCTATATAGCATTTTTCTCTGGGGCGCGAGTTCTGGCGCACCCTGTATTTTCACTGTATGTGTAATTTACAAAAATTTGTCAGTAATATCTAAACACACATTCACTTTTTTTATTTATGAAACAACATAGAATAAATGATAATTTTAAATGTTTATGGATTCCAATTATTTACCAAGAATTTACTTTTTAGGGTAACTATGTAAACGCTAGTTAAATTTTTGTTTAACTTGAAAGTAATCTTTGAAGTATCTAAAAAAATCTTTACAATATACGACCGCTAGCATTTTTATGGCTTCACCAAACATACAGGTCTCGCCCTACAGCTCAACCAGTAAAGTATTAGTGTGGCAATAAAAATGTTGCTACCGTTCTAATACCGTAAATAGCTATTATTATAATGAATAAATTATGTATATACTAAGACCTACTTTCCATATTTCCAATAAATTCTCTTATGTAAGAAACAAATCAAAAGAATTACAATATACATTACAAAACAATGTTTAAAGCAAAATCAGTTTAAAGAATTTGCAATGTTCTTTTTAGTACAATATGAATACGTTCCTTACCTGTGAGTTTGTCATCGTGACTTCCAATTAAAAAAAACTCCAGAAAAAATTCAGCCTCTTGGAGCATAGGCTGTTTCATGCAAGACACCACCACAATAAAGAAGACTGGAAAACACAGAAAGTAAAACACCAAAAGCAAATAAATAAAATAAATAATCTAAGCCGTCAGAAGCAGATTCTCTTTCATAAACAAATAATAATCAATCACTCTGAAAGCTAACGAGCAGACGCAGCGTGCAAAATATAAACATCTGGAACAGGTGATTTTCAACGACTGAACTAATTAAAACGAGTCATAATTGATAGAACATCCCTTTCTCCATCGAATTTACTTGCACTTACTTTCAAATAGAAAACTGTGCAGTGTGCAGGGATTGTGCAGAAATACAAAGTTTAATTGATATTATATTGTGCTATTGTACTCGTACTATACAGAATTTATAATTTTTAGATGACAAAAAATCTGCAACTTTAGAAACAATTTACAAAAACCACGAAAAATGTTCTTGCCTTGTTTCGTAGTCAAATTATACAGGCTATTCCGTTTTTATTGTTACAAACTTAAACAGGTGATAGAATATTAAATTTTAAGACAAAAGTTTCCTATGAACATGTATCAAAAAATGGTTCGTAAGCGAGCTACACCCCCTGAAAGAGATGCGTTTTTAATGGGGTTTTCCCACTATTGCAGAATAGATAAAATTACAAAAGTTGGTACAGCTGATTACTTTTAAACACCTAAACGAATTTAAGATCAGTTGTCGAAATTTTTAATCACGGGTTTCTTAAACGGTGATACAAATTTAATTTTTAATTTTTATCCTTTTTATGGTCTGTAAGACAAATTGTAAACAGATTTTACTCAAAAACGGTAAGTTTTGTCGAAAAAACGCAAGAGACCTCTTTTTGTGAAAAACTATGAAATTTAGAATTTTGTGGCTGAAACTGGCAAAAACCAACCGCCAAAATAGTTAGGGTACTTTTTACCCTAAACCCCCCAGTTTAGGACGCCCCTGAGTAAAAATTCCGACATTTTATCTTTGAATTCATTTGGGTGTATAAAGGTTATCAGTTGTACCAAATTTTGTAATTTTATCCACAATGGTTTCTGAAATATTGGAAAAAATCTATTAAAAAATGCACCTCTTTCAGGGGATGTGGCTCCCTTATATAAATTTTTTAGATATATGTTTATAGGAAAGTTTTATCTTAAAATTGAATATTCTATCATCTAGTTAAATTTGTAAGTCTCTTTTGCCATAATTTATTATTTATCACATCATTTATTTATCATATTATCATTTAGGAAGTGTTTAATGCGGATGTAGCAATAAAGATAACAAGTATTTGGGCAAGTGTAAAATAAAAAAACGTAATACAGTTACACAATAATGATATTTTAATTTCCATGAAAATGAATATTTAGACTTGCAAAACTTTTACGTAAAATGGAAAGTAAAACAAGAAAAGAATCTAATATTCTACAACGTGTAACTAGTTGAAAAATTATGCAGTCATCTTGCCGTAACGGCGATTTTAAACACTACCAAATATACAGGCTGGTCTCGACATAATCGTCCAAAAAAATTCTGGGTCATTAAAAGGATCTAACAAGTCCGAAGAACCTCTTCCTACTAGGTCAAATATAATGAACTCCTATCCACACACAATCGACGCTACTGACCACAAAAATTACATAGTTAAAAATTAATTGTTAGTTTTGTAATATCTGAGCAACTATACCTAAATCGTTTGTGACAAATTGGACCAAATTACTGACAACTGTCCGCTGTGTGTTAAGTCACTACGTGATCTAGGTATTTACAAAAAGCTGATTTTGTAGCCTCAGATAAATGAGAACCAAATAATAAATAAAGTGGTGTTCGTCAAGGTATTATAAATAAATGTGAAGCTAATGTGTGCAAAATTTTGGAAGAATTGTGCAACAAGAGTATTGTTTTAGGTGTGTTAAAACAGTGAAAATAATTACCGCACAATAGATTTTGACCGAATTTTAAATCATTTTTATCTCGAAAACGAAGAGACTTTTATTAGAAACATTTTTTGTGTATGAATTCTACTCATAGTCACCTATTAACTGATTTTCTTGGGCAGGTCATATCAGGACCAACCTGTATTTTTTCAGTTCTGCTCAGTTTCTATGTTGTCATTACGGTCAAAATTAATTACAACAATTAAAGGAATAACATTAATTACTAATTTAAAAATAAAACTGAAGTTGTTATACAAAACGTATGTCCACATATCTAAAAGTAATAATTAAATTAATTAGATAATATCTAATTAAATTCATTAGTTTTCTCATAGTTTAGCGACTAAATTTTGCTAATACATATTTACTTAGAACTGTTTTAAAAATAATAGAATAATAGTATATTGTATCACAAGAGATTTTTCTCTACCGAGTTTTATATAATTTTTTTTTTCACTACTAGCATATTTATTACACAGAAATACAACGGTCAGACGTAAGTTTACGTTGTTAAGCACATTTTTTTCACGTTGTAATTGGTCCACACATTTCACTATTTCTTGTTACCTAGACAACTTTAAAATTTCAGCGTGCTATAAAGGCCAAATTACGCACGCTGCAACGTGTTCTAATTTAAGATTATGATGCAGGTATAATAAAAAACATGGACAAATTGCATTTTGAAAGTCTGCTTCTCAATTTTTTTCTGCTTTTTACATCCCATCCCATTGACGGTTTTATTTTTTTGACAATGATGTTACTTTGACAACTGAGTTTACGCAAGTTAAATAACAAAAATGTTTGTGAAAATTAATTTTCCTCTGTTTTTTAATACCTATCACATTGCTAGTTTTAGTACAAAATCAAGAGAAAAATGAATTTTTCTTTGTACTGAGTTAGAATAATCAAAATTACAGATTTGTTCGTTTCAGATAAAGCAAAAAATGTGGTTCCTTTGCAGTTAATATAATAGCCCTTGGTCCATAATGAAAATAATTAATTATTAACTACCGTGCGATCAAAAAAAAAACTTTTTACAAGTTTCCGTTTTATTCATTTTGAATGAAATAATGTTCACTTTAGAGTAGAAAATTTTTATTGCTGTACAAGACGAAAACGGTGAATGGTCATTTTTACTTTCAGTTTGTGTGGAAAATTTCCAGCCCGGATAATCTTCTCTAGTTTGTTCACCCTTTCAAAAATTACAACGTTTTTAGTTAGTTAGTGATTAAGATAGATAAACTAGAATCGTATTCATGCCGTCTCTTGATAGAACAAATGATAATTGTTTCTGAAAAACTGCAGTTTATGACTATTAATGAAACAGTGATTAGTTTGATAACTACTGTCATGGGTTTCCAAAAATTAAATAATTAAATGTGTATTTTTTGTATCCAGTGTTCTGTGACTTTTGTGTATTTGGGTGCGTACATTAGGCGCAAGCCTCGTAAAGTTATGTGAAACACTCTGTATTTTACAGCTAGTAGTGAAAAAAAATATTTTCGCTGTTCCATAATGGATTTATTATTCTCAAAATTCACATACATTTGCATGGTTTAATTACGACTTTATCTCAAAAAGGTTAACTTTGACATGACATAAGTTTTACTAACTAGAAACATGAAAGCGAATAAGTTACGGACTAAACACTTGGTCGTGGCACCGTTACTTTCGATGACCATTTGCAGTCGACAAAATAGAAAACACTAATGATTATGTGTCAATTAAATAGTACTGACACTGACAAATATTGACAATATTCAATAGTCTGTTATACATCGATTAAATTTTAGGTGTACAGTGGTAGACAGTGAATTTCGTCCACCCAATTTCTGTGAATTCACAAAAATTCACTGTATGTGCTTTATTGTCATGATAACTGACATTCAAATACGTATTGTAAAATTTAATCAAATTCGAACATGCCAGCAGTAAGTACGTTTAATAAAATAAAAATTATCCCTCTGGTACAAGAAGGTATGTCTCAAATACGTGTCTCAATACTTTTGCGGATACCATTTCAAAGACAAAGGTAAAAAGTAGCAAGAAGCATTCTGTCAACATGACAAACGTTAATCAAAATTCTTAAACAAATTCACTGTACGGGTGTACCATGAGATATAAATAACGTGACCGACCTTGCCCAAATACATAGCGACTGTTTACAAATGTTGAAACAGAGAGGGTCATAAGTACAGTTGGAGACAAAATACTTTGGTCGTCACTTTTCTGACACTTTAATGTAATTCAAGCTTTAACGTTAAAATGAATGACGATTTCAAATTAATGACAGCTATTATATCTTTCTATCAAAAATATGTACAACTTGACAACTATGATTGACAGTAACTAAAAATAAGGTTAACAGTCCTAAAGCATGCTTTACAATTTAATGTCACTCAAGTGACATTGACGACCAAAGTATTTTGTCTCCAACTGTACCTGTGTAAGTACATCTTTCGTGTTATTAATTGATCCAAATGCAGATAATACAAAAACAACCTTTAGTGATAATATAATCAAACTTTTGATAGAATAATATTAAAAAAATTACTGTAAAATGGTAACTTAATTTGTTTAAAAATTAAACAATATTCATATTGCAAACCTACAATAATTAAGGTACCTACCTAACATGTAAATGATAATGCCTAGGTTAAAAGGAAAAGAAATAGTATTAATTCAAACTCACCCTTTTTGATGGTTTATTGCAAGAGCGGTTATCAACAAAATTAATTATTTTATCCCCAGATGTTGGCAACAGAGAATTTTCCACATTGATTTCCGCTTCTCTAGTCATTATAACTCTATTTCATAAAAATTTAACGAACAGATTTCACATAAAACTCAATAAAATAAAAAAATAAGGTAAAATTGGTCGACTTTTTTGACGTTTGTCAGTGACATATATTTGACAATTGACAGTAGTCGACGCGTTGCGTCATGAAGTGTCTAACGTTGCCACTCTTGAATCAGTAATGATGATAATAAATGATAATAATCATAATTTACTCTATTTATTTGACATCAACAACTTGCCGTCAATTGTTTTTTTTATGATTGTGTTAAAATTGTTCCGCAGATAATTTATTGAAGAAAATTTGTGGAGCTTTAACCACTTCCAGAATCGCGATTTGACATTTGTGCGTTTTGACATTTGAATTGCTAAAAAGCCGAAATCAGTTTAAAAATGGGAGAATCTCAAGAACAGAAACGATGGGGCCACTTACGCAAAGTCCTGGAACGGCCTGGTCCATTTTGCCATCCTGAATTCGAACCGTCACCTGAAATCATGGATTTTATTGTAACCTCTTGTAAGGTCCTTGTTGTGGGTGCTGGGGGTTTAGGCTGTGAGTTGCTAAAAAATTTGGCATTAATGGGTTTCAAACAAATCCATGTGATCGATATGGATACCATAGATTTATCAAATTTGAACCGTCAATTCCTGTTCAGACAAAAAGACATAGGACAATCAAAAGCCAAAGTAGCGGCGGCTTTCATCAATAAACGAATTTCTGGATGCCAAGTTACACCACATTTTTGTAAAATACAAGATTATGATGAAAGCTTTTACCGGAGTTTTCATATAATTGTATGTGGGTTGGACTCGATAGTGGCCCGAAGGTGGATTAATGGAATGATTTTGTCACTTTTGAATTATGAAGATGGAATCCTTGACAATTCTACGATTATCCCCTTGGTTGATGGAGGTGGGTTCCACACATTTCTATTTATCACCCCAATAATTTTTTTTTTTGATAGGTACTGAAGGTTTTAAGGGCAATGCACGTGTCATTGTTCCAGGAAACAACGCTTGTGTTGAATGTACTTTAGATTTATACCCCCCTCAAGTAACCTACCCCCTGTGTACAATAGCCAACACTCCTCGTCTCCCTGAACATTGCATTGAATATGTAAAAGTAGTCATGTGGCCAAAAGAAAACCCCTTCAATTCTCCTCTCGACGGCGATGATTCACAGCATATAGGCTGGATCTATGAAAAATCGCTAGAGAGAGCGTTACAATTTAATATTCCAGGCGTAACTTACCGCCTTGTACAAGGCGTTGTGAAAAATATAATTCCAGCTGTAGCTTCCACCAATGCCGTTATTGCTGGAATTTGCGCGACAGAAGTATTTAAAATTGCAACAAGTTGTTGCTTACCTTTGAACAATTACATGGTTTTTAATGATGTAGATGGCATTTATACTTATACTTATACTGCTGAACGTAGAGATAACTGCGTGGTTTGTTCTCAAGTACCACAAACTCTTCCTGTTGAAGATCCATGTAAAATAAAACTGAAGGATCTAATTAAAATGCTGTGTGAAGATGAAATGTATCAAATGAAAAATCCTGGTTTAACAACAGTTATTGATGGTAAAAACAAAACGTTGTACATTTCTACAATCAAAAGTATAGAAGAGAGGACCAGAGACAATTTAAATAAAACATTAGTTGAGTTGGGTCTTAAAGATGGTATGGACATCATGGTTGCAGATGCTACGTCTCCAATGACCTTAGTTTTTACACTGAAGTTTGCAGTAAAGGATGTTGAGATGAAGTAAATAATTATGTAGTTTCATTATTTATATTTAATAAATGAAATAAAAAGTTTGGTTCTTATTACTGAAAAGTGGATGCTTACGAAAATCACGAAAACGGACCTAAGTAAATATTTACATAACATAATCCTACCCTATTAATAAATATGTAATATAATATTAATTCCACCTACGTACAGTTGGAGACAAAATACTTTGGTCGCCACGTTTCTGACACTTCAATGTAATTCAAGCTTTAACGTCAAAATGAATGACAATTTCAAATTAATGACAGTTATTATATTTTCTGTTCCGAATTGAAGAAATAAAACAATATCTTGTATATAAATTTTATTGTTCGTTCACCCGACGAGTACAAGATCTAATGCCGAACTGGCCTCTCGACACATAAGTTGTGTAAGAAGTTGTACAAATCATCATTGACAAAAAATATATCGGATTAGATGACTAATTGCTGCCAAGGTACAGACAAAGAGATTTACAAAAGTTGGGTAACGAATTAACAAAAACCAGTGAGTCAGGAAATGTTCTAGAAAATAGTAAAACGTAATAATTAGTAACTGACAAATAATAAATCCTAACGCTAAATAATGAATAGTAATAATAATAAATATATAACAATAATAATAAATATGTAACACTAATAATAAATATGTAACATTTCCTATGAAAAATATGTATATGTAGGTACACACAACTTGTCAACGTTCTGTTGTCAACTATGATTGACAGTAGCTAAAAATAAGGTTAGCAGTCCTAAAGCATGTTTTACAATTTAATGTCACTCAAGTGACATTGACGACCGAAGTATTTTGTCTCCAACTGTACAGTGGGGAATTTTGACACATCCTCTCAAAATTCATTCAAAACGTCACTTTTGACAAATAAGTGGTAGACGCCGTCAGAAAAATTTTAAAATGCCGCAATTGTCGAATGTACAGAAATTTATTATTATTACAAGATTAAGGGACAATGTCCCTACACGAGTCATCACAGAAGAAATAAATGTGAACAAAATGACTGCTCTTAAAGCAAAGAAGAAAATTCTAGTGACATTTTAAACATAATAGTGATTGTCAATTTCAAGGGAAAATTTACAACGCCAATTTTTTTTTATTTGTCAAGTGTATTACTTTTCAATGGCCGCGACTGTACGTAAATTACGAAATACGTACAGTTGGAGACAAAATGCTTTTAATTCAATGTCACTTGAGTGACATTAAATTGTAAAGCATGCTTTAGGACTGTTGTAGCCTTATTTTTAGCTACTGTCATCATAGTTGACAAGTTGTATGTACATATTTTTTTTATAGGAAAATATAATAGCTGTCATTAATTTGAAATTGTCATTCATTTTAACGTTAAAGCTTGATAAGTAATGTCAATTTTTGTTAATGTCAAAATGCCCCGTCTTTAGAATTAACCCTAGGATGCATAATGTGGGTATTTTGTAGGCGACTGTTTGTTCAGTTTTAAATTTCTTTTTTATTTTTACTGATAATTTTATAAGATTATAGTTATGCCTTCTTTATATTGTTTTTAATACAAGGTGATTCACGAGGAATAATGAACCTAACCAAATTCTCGATGCAACCACAATTACTTTTCGCAAGTTATTTTGCGACAACTGTAATGTTGGTTGCATCGAGAATTTGGTCAGGCTCATTATTCCTCATGAATCAGCCTGTATAATAGTTGAAGTTATGTTTTACAAAGTTTGTAATTTACAGAATAAAAAAATACTTTTAGTAATTACATAAAACGCGGCTGTTTCAACGTATTCAAATATTTTGTGTTTTTCAAGTCAATTTTAAAAGATATTAGAACATTTATGTCAAATGCACAAACAGAACAACAAGCAACATATCAGTAAAAAATTAACAACCAAAAAAGTGTGTTTTATATGCCCAACACGACCCTTGAATACAGGGTGTTTCACATAATTTTACGAGGCCTGCGCCTGTAAGATGCATATTCCGATACGAACTCGATTACAAATTTTAAAAAATTGGATAATCTTTTCTAGTTTGTTCACTCTGTCAAAAATTACAACTTTTTTAGTTAGGTAGTGATTAAGATAGATAAACTACAATCATATTCATGCCGTCTCTTGGTAGAACAAATGATAATTGATTCTGAAAAACTGCAGTTTATGACTATTAATGAAACAGTGATTAGTTTGACAACTACTGTCATGGGTTTCCAAAAATTAAATGTGTATTTTTTGTATCCAGTGTTCTGTGACTTTTGTATGTTTGGGTGCGTACATTAGGCGCAAGCCTCGTAAAGTGATGTGAAACATCCTGTATAATAAAAAAATGAAAATTTAAAGTCTTCGTTTTTGAATAATTGGAAAAACGGCTTTACCAAATAGGCTGTTGTATAGACATTTTTGAAAAACGTTTGTTATGAGCTTTCCAACGTATCACAAGTAAGGTCTTGCTATTTAAAATTTTCATTTTGGGATGGCTGTGCCTTCAAGCATGGGTGAAGAAATTTGAAAGGTTTTACTGAAAAATTAGAAATAGAAACAATGTATTATTTATCGACATGTGTTACATGTTAGAATTAACACACGTATTTCTGATACATCATGTATAACTTTGAGCGGGAGTTTCCTTAAACAAGTTGTAAAACCTAAAAATAACTATTACCCTGTTCAACGAAATTAATCGGGTAAAAGTAAGGTTATATTTTTTAATTTTGATTTTTTTGAAGTTTTAAATCAAATTATATAAAATTTATTTAGTCGTACACAAAAAAAACGAAGACTTCCCTTTTGATTTAATCGGGTTCAGGTAAAAAATAAATGGGAGTATTATAAACTGTAAATTTGAACTTTGCGCCTCAGGTTTCTAGTCACGTGACACTTCCGAGTCCTCGCAGTTCGTTGTTCTGCTTAGTGAATGTGAAAGAAATGGCGGACGACAAAAGTGTGGAGAAAACAATTTCAGAAGACTTGGTTGTTACCAAGTATAAAATGGCAGGAGAAATTGTTAATAGTAAGTTTTTTATTCTCACAATTTCTGCTACATCTTTCAACTCAAAAATCTAATTTCCGAAGCTCATATTCTACGAAATTCAGTTACAACCATATGGGCTTGAATCAACCATGTGGTTTTTCAGTGCAAGCGTTTCGACTTTTTCATATTTTACTCTTGGTTGATTCAGTTTTTAGTGACCACCACGTGTTTTTCAGGGATTCTGAAGCAAGTTCTCGAGAAATGTAAGCCGGGCAGCTCAGTTCGAGAAATTTGTGAATTTGGGGATCAGCTTATCACTGAAGAAACTAGCAAAGTTTTTAAGAAGGAAAAAGAGATGAAAAAAGGAATCGCATTTCCCACTTGTGTTTCTGTCAACAACTGTATTTGCCATTTTTCACCAATCGCAAGTGAGCCTGATTATGTCTTGAAGGATGGAGACATGGTCAAAGTGTAAGTTAAAATACATTAAATCAAAGTATATTAAAGGTACAACCGTTATACCAAGACCTGTTCAGCGTACATTTTAAAAATTATTAAAATTCTACATATTTTTTTTGCACAGTTGCGGAATTAAAACTTCGGGCAGTACTTTTCTGTCACGTTAAACAGTTCACTGCATAGGTGTAAACGTCCTTTTACTGTCATCATGACTGACATTTGACAATTAAACGTGTTTTTTGTTGTTGTTAATATTAATTAAACAATTTGTCTATCTTAGGATATTTATTAATTGAACTAAATGTAATTAAATCATCGCTTTGATCTGCTGTCTATCCGTTATTATGTCACAAATCACTATTTTTGAAAGTAAATAAGTCTAAATGACAAGAGGAAAAAATGCAAAGTTTGTTTTAGAGTTTACATTATGAAAATGACAATACTGCCCGAAATTTTAATTCCGCAACTGTACTGTACTCCAAAAAATTAAAGGAACAAAAAAAATTCCTAAATTTTTTGATAATTTTTGAAAGGCTTTAACTCATCGAAAAAATAAAGCTTTAAGTTTTTACTTTTGAGATGTTTTGGCAGAATTTTTTTCTGTGCTACGGCTTACCTCTTATGTTGTCATTAAAATACGCTTCATCTATAAAGGACGTCGTCAATAGCAACGTATCTTATAAGGCTATAAAATACGCTGGTGCATATTTTTTGTGTATTTTTACATACTTCTTTATAATAATTTCTGAATTTAATAAAATTTCTGATTTAATTTTAGTGTTGCAAAAAATCTTGAAGACAACACAAGTTTTATAGTTTAAAAATCTCAACCTATTGAATTCTCGCTTTCTCCGATCGCTCGAATTTAAACTACGACCTCGATTTTTTAACTGTCTATAATAGCAATAAAAAGTGAACAAATCATACCACTCAAAGAAAATTAATCTTTTACTTTTTTATAATTATCTCATAAGTTGATAAATAAAATTATTGCAACTATGCTTGGTTACATGTGAGTTACAAAGAATTCTTTATGATGATTTATTTACCTCCAATTGATCCAACTGAAATCAGTGATTGCAATATTATATCTGATATTTTTTCTTAGATTAAAAAAAAATTGTAATAGTTTGATGTGATAGCAAATTTTGTTTTAGTGATTTGGGTGCTCACATTGATGGATTCATTGCTGTAGTGGCTCACACAATAATCTTGGGTGTTTCAAATGAAGATAAAGCTGCCAATAGGAAAGCGGATGTAATGTTGGCAGCACACTATGCTTCTGAAGCCGCTTTGAGACTGCTAAAACCAGGCAACGAAACATACACTATCACTGATGCCGTACAGAGAGTGGCCGAATCATTCAAATGTAAACCAGTCGAAGGAATGTTGAGTCACCAATTGAAACAATTTAAGATCGACGGCGAAAAAACCATCATCCAAAATCCAAACGAAGCTCAGAAAAAAGAACACGAAAAGTTCGAACTGGACAAACACGAAGTGTATGCGATGGACGTGCTGATTAGTACCGGTGAAGGGGTGGGACGAGAAGGCGATAACCGAGTTTCGATCTACAAGAAAACGGACGAAACTTATCAGTTAAAACTGAAAGCTTCCAGGATGTTTTACAGCGAAGTCCGTACCAAGTATGGAAACATGCCTTTCAACTTACGTAGTTTTCAAGACGAAACCAAGGCGAAAATGGGCGTAGTGGAGTGTGTGAAGAATAAGTTAATAGAACCGTTCCAAGTGCTTTACGAAAAACCAGGTAAGTTAGTAATTAACTTAAAAAAATCCATGCTATTTTAATTTTTTTACAGGCGAGTTTGTAGCTCATTTCAAGTTCACTGTACTATTAATGCCGAATGGGCCACACAAAATAACCGGGTTACCTTTTGATCCTGAATTGTATAAATCAGAGTATTCAATCAGCGATCCACAAGTCCAGTCGATACTCAAGAGTTCTGCTAACCCAAAAGCTGCCAAAAAGAAAAAAAGGAAGACGGACGGTGATGTGGACCAACCAATGGAAGTTGAAGCAGTAGCTTAAACAGATTACTAGTTTTATACAAGCTTTTCTCCTTACACTCAGCACTTTATATTATTTTTATTATCTATAAGTTTTGTATTTCAGTTCTTTTTTAAAATTCAATTTTCATGACATGAGTACATTTTTTGAATAAACTGACCCTAAAAAATTACATTTCAAGTGTTAAAATTGTTAACTTTAATAATTATAATAGATTTTATATTGCTACGACAGCAATATGATGAATAAATATAGTGTTTGGTATTTTGGGTTTTAATTTCTTTACTTACAATTAAAAGAAAAAATAGTTTTACACGAAAAACAGAAAACTGCATAATTATTTAAATTGACAATCACTAAAAATGATGACAAAAAGAAACATTTACTTTTTATATTATCTTTTCTTTTTAGGTGTGTAACCTCGACGTTTCGATCTACTTCTACTTGAACTGCTTCTCCTCCTCTTTTCCCTTCTTCGGGAACGGGAACGTGATCTTCCGCATCTCTTAGACTTCCTGAAATTGAGCATTAAAAAAATTATCTAATTGTTATCTAACAATTACCTTGAAGAGTCGCTTGAACTGTCACTGTAACTGCTGGAACTGGAACTGTAGCTTCTCTCTCGTTTTGATTTGGACGAACTATTCTTATCCAATTCTTGCAAAACTTTATAAGTCTTCAACAACTTCTCCTTTTCAATCGCCTCTCTCTTAGCCTTCTTCGCTTTTTCTAACATATCGGCTTCTTCTTTCGCTTTTCTATGTTTCTCTTCTAGCAACTTTTGTTCAACTTCTTTTTTCTTTTTCATTTCCAACAATTCCATTTGCTTTCGCAGAATCAAGAGTTTTTTGTATTTCTCTTCCGCATCGTCAATCTTCTTCTCTTCTTTATGGTCACTCTCTTGTTTTTTTGCTTTTTTTTCATCATCTGAAGTTGACTTGGACCTGTTTCTGATCTTCTCTTTGACAGGGCTCGCCGATTTTCTACTCCTAGAATGCCTGTTGTGGGATCGCGATCTTTGTCTGTGTTTCGACCTAGACCTTCTCGGTGATCTTTTATATTTGCGATCTCTCGACAAATAAGGCATATAGCGCCCTCTATCGCGCCGCATGAAGGGTCTTCGTATGGGTCTGCGATCGTCGAATGGGCGCCTTTCCATTCTACGTCTGGTAGATTCGCGATAGTTGGAATTTTTATATTCCCGATTTTCGTTATTGTGATTGTCCGGTTTTTCGGTTTCGAATTTATTACGCCCTGTTCGTACTTCCACGTCTTTTTTACTGGCATCGGAAACTGTACGTTTTTTCTCGTTGTTTTGACCTCCAGATGTTTTCATCGAATCATTATTTTGGTTCATTTCGTTTTTCGGTGTCTCTTCGCCAGTTTTCACTTGTACACCCAAAGCCATAGCCATGACATCGCTCTTTGTGTTATTTATCATTACGTCTTTATTGTTTTTTTGATCTAATTCGTTATTTGGATTGAAACTGCCTGGTAGAGGATACTGAACCAAACTGGGCACTTGTTTTCTGACGGCTTCTTCTTCTTCAGATTGGTTATCTTCATAATCCAAAGCGTTGTAATCTACTTCTTTGTTATTCTTATCGTCGTTCGTTACGTCTGTTTCATTCTCTGGCTGACTTTCTTCTTTCGCTGCTTTTTCCATTTTCCTGCGCTCTTCACGTTTTCTGCGTTCCTGTTCGAGTTTTTCGAATTCGGATAATTTAATGACGCGGTTTTCTTCTTTACGCCAATGAAGCGGAGTCCCGCTGCGAGATCGGCTCCGAGACGGCGTTCTGTATCTCTTTAAAAACACGAATATAAAACACATTCTTCTTCAGATAACAAACTTACGAATTTTCCCCTTCCTTTAATAATCCTTCCGCTTTTGGTAGTCACCGGTCGATCTCTTCTGTTAAAACCATGATTATCCCAATCTCTGCGATTCCTATCTCTTAAACCTTTAGTTCTAAAATCGTCTAAAAACAAATAGTTATAAAAAAATAAACATTACTTGAGGTAGAGAACCTTTTCTTTTTTTGTTAACTTTTCGATCTTTTTCTTGCGGACCTCTCATTAGAAACTTATTATACGGAACATCAGGGATGTCGTCAGGATTAATATCGGTCACAGTAGCCAAAGGATGAAGGTCTTTCAATTCCCCTTCCTCTTCTGAATCGGCATCAGTTTTTCTATCAACGTATAAATTGACAACAAATAAAATCTATGATTTTCAAGTTTACCCTTTATGTTTCTTATCTTTTTTCTCCTTTTTTTTATCCTTCTTATGTTTCTTCTTTTTCTTCTCATCACCAGATAATTCCTCTTCGTTTTCGTTTTCTTCCTTTTCTTCCTTTTTCTTCTTCTTATCTTTTTTCACTAAAATATTAATCAATATAAATCAAAAGTTCATGCTGCTATTGTAGTCTTACCCTTAACTTGCCTCACAAGTTCTCCGCATTTAACAATCTTCGCATCTTGTAATGGACGACTGTTCGCATCAACTGGTAGTGATTCAATCTGACGAACGACATCAACTCCTCCAACAACACGTCCAAAGACAACATGTACACTACAATTCAAATTTTTATTCAATATTTAACTTAATTTAATTTTTATCGAACTTACTTGTCGAGATGAGGGGCCGGTTGTGTAGTACTATAACACAAAACATGACAAGATATGATCAGCGTAGGCCAGGATAGATGGAACAGACGTATTGCTACAGAACAACAAAAGTAACTGTTCTGTAACACATCTCTTAGAGCAACTGAGAAATTTATGAAATGGTAAAAATTTTAACACAAACAATTCTACAATACATAAAAAAACACTAGATGTAAAAAATTTTTTTTAACCCAACTCGTCATTTTAGCTGAAGACTCACATAAAGAATTGAGAACCATTCGTGTCCTTTCCTCGATTTGCCATCGACAGTAGAAAAGGTTGGTCGTGTTTTAGTTCAAAATTTTCGTCTGAAAATAAGTTATTTCTTATTACAAAAACAATTGATAGTTGTTGTTTACGACTTCGAACTTTTACTACAAACCGTAAGGTGAGTAAAAAAAATAGCGTACTATTCAATAAATAATATTTGAAAAATGGCTGTGAAAACAATGAATCAAGTATACTAAACTTAAAATTTTTCGTCATTGTCCATACACTTTCATGGTAATTAATTAATATATTTTAAAAAAGTTAAGTTTTTAAAATATATACCTATAAAAGTCTGTGTAATAATTCAGCCTCGATCGTTTCGGATAACAGGTGGCTGTATTTTTTTTTATATTGGACATACTGTCTGAAGAAAATTTAATTTTCTGTCAGTGTCATAAAACCAGAACCATGTTGTCCAATTTATATTTTTCAAAATCAACTCATAAGATGACAGAACTAATTTTTCATAAAAATATTAAACAACTGTAAAAAGGGTAAAACAATCATATTTAAATAAGAAATTGCTGTAATAAGTCTGATTATCACACAAACCACAAGTAAGACAAATCAAACATTATGATGATTTGGAGTAATCTAATTACACTTTACTTACTAAATTACAGTAATTATTAAGTATCCGTACCTAAATATTTAAATAGAGAAGATTTAATCTCGCATTTATTATTTCCCTAGATGCCACGCATCTCGGGTAATAAACAGCGCGGGTATAAAAAATTCTCTAGAAATATACATTATGTCCCCGGATTGAATTTACAAGAGGAAATTTTTTTATCTTTGATTTTACGCTAAAACTGCAAAGGAAAAACATTTTTTGCTTTACCTGAAACGAGCCATTCTGTAATTAAAACTTCATTATTCTGATTCAGTGAAAAGAAAAGTTAATTTTAATCTTGACTTTGGACTTATATTTTTCCCTGCTTTTTAAGCCCTATCACATTGGCGGTTTAATTTATTTGACAACTATGTCACTTTGACAATCAATTTATTAACTGAATAATGATGATTTTTGTTAAAAATGACATTTTTTCTTATCTTAAAGCTGTTTCTTTGAGTTGCCATTTATTAAAATTATGTTTTTCACAAACATTTTTGTTATTTAACTTGCGGAAACTCAGTTGTCAAAGTGACATTATTGTCAAAAAAATAAAATCGCCAATGTGATGGGATTTAAAAAGCAGAAAAAAATTATGAATTGAAGTAAAGTTTTTTTGTAAAATGCCTAAGTCCTCTAGTCGTAAAATTGTATTCAATTGTATTCAATGTGTACATATTTTTTTACATTTATTCTCACTGATATAAAAAATTAAAATTATTTCTTAAAAGAAGGACAGTTTTTGTTCTCTCCTGCAAAAATGCAAATTTAGACAAACTGCTTTTTGAAAGTCTGCTCCTCATATGCAATTACAATTAGGAGCCGAGATATTGAAAATTGTTTATAACAATTGTTAATTGTTTGTTAAGTCCGAAATCAAGAAAAAAATGAACTTTTCTTTCTACTGAATTAGAATAATAAAGTTTTAATGACAGATTTGCTCGTTTCAGGTAATTTTCCTTCGCAGTTTTCGAGTAAAATCAAAGACATTTTTTTTTCCTCTTGTAAACTCAATCCGGGGACATACTGTAGATCTAGAAATATTTGGAAACAGAGTCAAGTACTTTTATTGCTCTCACAGCGGTACGTAAATACCCTTACCATAAATACAGGGTGAATATAAAGTATGGAACCAAGCGGTTTTATTTTTAATCATGTGCCTCCGGAATATAATAATTAATATAAATTAAAGTAATATAAAAAATGTGATCGTAATTTCAGAACGAAATTTTGTTTTGTTTTTGAGTTATGCGATTTTTTTTTGTCAAAATTGCAATTTAAGTGAAAAAAATTTTTTGAAAAAATTAAAAATAAAGCAGATAGTTGTAATCCTCAGAGTATAGCTTTTATGAGAAAAATGATTTTATAGTGGGTTGCCATTTAAAAAAATTAATTTTTTTGTAGAACTCAAAAATAAAAGGAAATTTCGAAAAATTTTATTCTTGTTAAATCATCACATTTTTATAGTACTTTAGCACTCATCAATTAGTTTTTCAAAAAATAAATAGTTTAAGCAAAAAACGTTTGGTTCCATACTTTTTATTCACCTGGTATGTCCAAAACTAATACCGCAGATCAAAATTTGCACTTCGATGTATTGAGAAGAGAATTATTGTTTTGGCTTGGTAGGAGGCCATTTGAGGTTTACCAGAAGGTCATGTGTTTCCAAATATTTCTAAATTTACTATACTTAAAACAAAATGTATCCTAATAAAAAAAATGGTAAAAAATTCAACTTGCAATGACTTTCCGGCAGGGAATTAGGTACTGTAAAATACTGTATTTGACGTTCGCAAAAAGTTGCAAGTGTTTGCAACACAGGTTTGCAAGTTACTCAATAAATAACAATAATAATAAATCGTTCATAAACGACATCATGTAAACCTACCTTCATAAGTTCCTCCATAAATACTTTCACCTCCTGTTCCATTTCCATTAGAAAAATCTCCTCCTTGGATGATAAAATCCTTCACAACTCGATGAAAAATAACCCCCTTAAAGTGGAGTAATTAATCGAAAATACCTCCATTACAATCAATACAAACCTTGAAATGCAACGCTTTTTTCGTATTCAACCCTATGCCTTTTTCACCTGTACAAAGACATCTGAAATTCTCACATGTTTTTGGTACAATATCTGAAAATAATTCAAAAACGATTCGGCCTGATTGTAAACCGCCTATGGATACGTCAAAAAAGCATCTAACTCGTTCCTTGGGCTGCTCTTCCATCTGGAAACAAATAATAAATGTAAGATATAGATTCTAAACAATAATGACATTTAAAAACTTATCACTTTCGCTGATTGCAAGTGTAATTAGTGAATTAACATTGATGAAGCACCTTGAAGTTTAAGCAGTCGTATACGTCAATTATGGAACGGAAATTATTAATTGATTAATTGACTAAACAACTATACGCTTGGAAAATATTAAAATTTAAAGATCTTTTAGTTTAGCAGAATTTGCGGCGAACGAACATTTTTGGCTATCAACAACGCGACCGCAACACAACGCCACAACGTAACAACTAGGGAATTTCGAATTAAAACTGTTCAAGAAAATGGTAGTAATTTAAGTGGCAAATTTAAAATATTTATCAACAATTAATTAAACACGCCCAAAAACGTGTTTAAGTAATTAATACTAGATACGTTTAATTACTACAGTCAACTGATTAATTCAGAAAATGCTAAACTCACTTAATAAATAACTAAAAATTATTTAAACGGGTTTGGGTTTTTTAATTGCATTAGGTTAGGTAGATAGGTAGATGATCTGTCATCTTCCGTTTGGAATTTTAGAACCCAACAAGACTTGAATGAAAACAAATTATAATATTATAACAATTATTCTTCAATTCTTTAAATTAATCATCGAAACTGTGAAATACGAGAAACACTTGCAGTCATTTGGAGTTACATTTGTTAAAAGTGACAAATTTTGGGCAATTTAAAGAAGTTATCAACAATAATTTAACCAAAAGTCTTTTTCTAAGATACAAAATATGTTCAGGTAATAGAATTCGTACTTAAAAAATTACAACAGATGCTTGGTTTTAACTTTTTTTTTTAATTTTGACATTACATAACATTTACAGGTTTGCCATCAAAGCAGGATTAGCTGCAAGTGCAGTTTATTATTTAAACAACGAAGGCATATGGAAAGAGAGTAACGAGTCATTGAAAGCATATGATAAATTAAACACCACACTTAAGCCCTATGTGCAAGAAGTACGAAAACAGGTTCCATTTGAGGTAACAGTAAACATGAGAAAGTTAACTTGTTTAAGATATGTTCTTGTAGTTGCCTGAGATTCCTAGTGGTGGAAGCAAGGTTTATAATATTCAAACCTGTTGGAATACAGGAGTAACATCAACTTTTCAATTTTTGAGTGAATTGCCTAATAAAATGAATAAATGGGCTGAAGAAGGAGTCTCCGCCATTTTGCAAAATCCTGATATGAAAAAAATACTTGATATCTCTGACAATGCGGCCACTGTGAAGAAATAAATGTGATATTAATAATTGTTAGAATGTATGTACACTCACAGTTTGTGACACAGTGTCATTAAAAATAAATTATTAAATATTTGTTGATATTACGAGTACTATAAAAAAATAGATATAAGAAAGGTTTACAAGCCAATCAATATAAGTCAGTTCACGTTAAAAATAGGATAGTTAAGCATTTTAAAGTTTTTGTTTAAAAAAAAAATGCAAAGAGGTAAAACAAAATCTTTATTGAAAGAGAATCGATAATACTTTAAAGTAGTGCCTACGTAACAATACAGTGTCATCTGAACTACATAAATTGGCTTTTGAATCCTCCATATTAAAGTAATATAAAAAGGGTTTTAATATTAATTTAATAGCGAATGAATGTCGTTAGAAAAAATTGCTTCTGTCTGTTGAGAATTTGAGATCCGGTTTGAAGGAAGTATGCAACTGAATAATACAGAAGTGTTCATATGCGTGGATAAACTTAATATTCTATTAATGTACAACATACACACAACTAGTGTGGAGTAGGAATCAAAATGACACAAATATTATCCATTGATGTGTGGGAGTCTTTAGCAGTTATTATTCGAAATAGTATATTGAAGAACAAGTTTTATAAGGGTTGATTTGGCGCACGAATTCCACGTTAGAAAACGAGCCTTAGGCGAGTTTTCTATGGGATAAGTGCGCCAATGCCATTATAAAACGAGTAGGTATTTTATGCTATTTTTCTAATTTGCGCCCCCTTTTTTTCTTATTTTAATTAAAAATATATATATTTTTGTCGTCTAGGGAATTTTGTGTTAGTTGGTATCGGTTAGTAAGACTCGGCGCCCACCTGATTTTTTGAATCATTTCTGCCGTCTGTCATTAAAAATAAAATTTACAAATTATTAGTTATTAGTGTTACAACATAATAATAATAAATAAAATATGAACCAACAGAATTTTGTTTGCACTCCGCCCGAAATTCGCGAAATTGCCGAAGCAACAACGCAAAATTTGTTACCTGACAAGTCAGAAGCGGCATCCAAAAACTAAATAACCCTAAATTCATTAAAGTACAGTGTGCTTTTATAGATAGCCATAAACGACTCCTACTGAGGGACGTTAATAAACGTATTATAAACGTAAATTAGAAAAATAAAAGTTTGGTGTGTCGGGTTAAATTGTGTTTGAGTTCATAAATGATTGCGATTTTTGTGATATCTTTGTCAAGTAGGCACCAAAACTTAAATCTTGGTTCAAATTCACACTTTAACTAATTATCACTCACTTAGAAGAGCGGCGGCCGTTTCATTTTTAATAGTTATTTATTGTAAGAGTGTGTTAGGTAGCGTTTTATCCACGCAAGAATGCTTAACCGCGAGAACGTCAGTTCGGTTAATTTTCTTGAGTGGATAAAACGCGACTAACACACTACTGCAATATAACGTTTTATCCACAATCACAAACCAGACTTAATTAAAAATTAAACTGACATTTAAATGTCACACCAAATGGGTTTTCGGTTAAACGTAGTAAGCTGCTAGGCGGTGCGCTGGTTACTAACAGTGGAATAAAGTTTCTATCCACTAGTGGATAAAGTGGTAGTTTATACCTACGCATCTAAAGTGTGGAATAAAGTTTCTTTACAGAGTGATTGTGGATAAAACATTTTTATTTGATACAACAGAACAAGTGATAATAAAACGTGTTTACTCATTGTTGGTTTTTAAAGTTCTCTAGTTCTTCACAGCATATGATATAAAAGGAAAAATGCAAATACAAAATAATACTTTTTTGAATGTATTGAGGTACAACGATAGCAGTCGAAGTACCGAACATTTGTATGTACTCGTTTTCAACTCATGTGCATCGAAGGGATGATTGAAAGGGATCATTTTAAGATGGCAACCATGCGAAAATTCAAATAATCCTAACCACAATCTTCGCTAAAAAATATTTTTTCACATAAATGTGTACCCCACGTAGTAAAAAATAATTAAAATTAACAACGTAATTAACACGATACTTGTAGCAAACATAAAGGTTTTTGTCATTATTGATGTGATTAAATTTGTTTTGAATGACATTAATGACACTTTTTGTGTAAATCGGCCTTTAAATTAAAAATTAATTTAGACTTCTACAAATTAATTGATGCACACATTAATAAGAAAAAGAGTATACAGGTGTTCCAATGAAAACGAGCCACCCCGGATATCTCAGAAACTAAAAAGACTTTGCAAAAACGTCGAAACAGGTCCATTTTGTTTCTAAGGGGGACATTTTTTGACGTAATTTTTAAAGCACCCCCAGTATAACCCCCTAACCCTCACACACCACAAGCTTAAAAATTTAAATAGCACTACCCTACTTGTGGCACATCAAATGAAAGCTACTTTAACAAGCTTTTCAAAACTTTTTACCAAAATTAAATCAGACCATCCATTCATGAGATACGGGGTGTTCTAATAAAAACGAACTATAAAGAATTTGCAAAAAAACGAAACAGGTTAATTTTGTTTTTAAAAAAGACATTTTTTGACACAATGTTTAAAGCATCCCCACTAATCCTTTAACTTTTCCCACCTCAATTTCGGAATTTCAAATGACAACGCCTCACTTGCGACAGATCAAATAAAAGTGTTTTTCAAATGTTCTTTAAACCTCTTTTCTAAAGTTGAATAGGATTATCTAATATATAAGATATTCGCAAAAGATAATGTTTCTAATTAGTAATTACTTCTAATAAAAACTATTAAAAAAATTACTAGAAACTTACTATGTACTATAAGTAAAATAGTAATTATAGTACATAGTATAAGTATAGTACTATAAGCTACTGTTTCAACTTCTAGATCCTTTTTGCTCAATGATCAGTGATCATTTTTAGAACAAAAAAACTCTTTATTTGCTTTAATTAGTACTCAGGTACTCTCTTTAAGCAAAGTGTTTATTGTAATTTAGATCAAAGAAGGTGCAATTGACCATTTTTAAGCAAAAGAAGAGTCTTAAAACAAATACTTTTATAAAAATGCAATTTTAAGTAAGATTAACATGCATTTCTCCAATATGGCGCAATACCTGAATAGCAAACCTTAACTTCAAAAAAATCATATCTTAAAAACTACTCGGTATATTATTTTAAAAATTTGGATTCTTACCAATAAAAAATGCTCTACACGATGGTGACGAAGAAAAAAAATACTCGTAGGGTTTTTCTGTTCGAAGAAAAGTTTGCCAATATTCAATTTAATTTGCATATCATTCTAAAGGGCAAGTCCATCTCTTTAGAATGGTCTTTATTTGAAGGAAATCGGCGTAATAGTTATTGAGTAATGATTTTTTAAAGTTAAAGTATTTTAAATTCATTTAAATTAGGAAAAAAATAATTATTTAGTTCAGAGTGTGTGGACTTTTTTTTAGTGCATTTGATTTGTCTTACTGAGAAGAACAAAATGATATAAAATTTGTCAAGTTGTCACGACATGACTTTTTTTGTCGCCCTGTGTAATAAATCTAGCACTTGTAATCTCAGTCCATGACCTTTCATAATTAATAATATAGTAAACAATAATAAATTTTACTCTGTCCGATAAGATAATAATAACCATACGTTTTACTTATTATCGTTAATTTTATATCAATGTGTTATCAAAAATTGTTCTTTTCATTCATAAAATTTCATTTTTACTATAATTGTCGAATTCTGAGTAATTTTACAACCTTATGACTTACTCTTATTAGAATAAAATAATGGTTGAACTATATAGATATAACAATAATTGTTATTACCGATGCCTGGAATAAACAATACAGTATGTAACCATTACTTGATTAAAATTCCTTTAGATCTCGTTCGGTCCCATAATCATCGAAACATTTATTTACCCATTATTCAGTTTTTTTTAATGGAAGAATTGCAAAGGAGTGCGCATGACGATAACGTATATGCTAAATGGTTGGTTATTCGCTCGTACGGCCTGACTATCGAAAACATCGTGCGTTAGTTAAGTGTTGTGTGGTGTCTTGTGTGTTATCAAAGTTCCCAAATGAGTACTTATTTATGGCGTTACGAATACTTCAATTCGGCATTGTGTTTGCAATAGGATATTATCTCGGACCTGCATCGCGTAAGTATCATCAAATCGAGTTTCCTCAGGAAAACATTGAAAACATTCTGTACCAATATGGCGGGTTGTTTAGATTGTCTATAAGATTTCCACATTATACGAAAAAATTGGACGCTTCCTTGACGTTGCCACGCATCGAAATTCTAGTCGCTCTGACAACCAACAAACATCGACCGATTCTCGACTGTCATACCTGTCATTTTGTGTTTTGTTATTGTTCGAGCCATCTACCTGCTTATGCTTAAACGCACATTTTTTAATTCGTTGTTTAATCCCGTGTGGTCGATTTCCTGTCGGATATTTGTCTTAATAAATTATTAATAAAAACTTGGCACAACTTGCTATGGCCATGACTTTCTTTTGTTAATAAAAATACATATACGAAATTCTTTAGTGCGTAGAAACTGCAATGTTTCGTAACAATGTTTCGGAAGATTCCGAACTGACTTATCAGGTGGTCTACTAGGTTTAGATTTTTTTGGTTATTCCGGGACGAATTACAAGCTGAATTATTATTGATTTGTTGTTTTGTCTCGAGTTTGTAACAGATAAGAATCCACTAGAAATTACTTAATAAGTTAGAACTAATAACATTTTTAATTCATCAGGAAGTAGGTGGCTTGTTTCAGTTGTTTGGTTTAATAAAAAAATAAACACTAGTACTTTTTTTACTTTTATACTACACGTGTTTTACACTACGATGATATGGCTAGTTAAACCCCAAATCCCCATTTATAATCTATCTTACAAAACTGGTGGATTATTCGTTTTTTTATTTTCAATTTCAAAGAATTTTCAATAAACGATTTTGTATTGACAAAATTTGGATTATACAGGGTTATTCACGAGAGGGTTATTTCTGAATTTGTTTTTGCCGCTTGATTTCAAATTTTAAAAATAATTATAACTAAATCCACCATAGCTGTTATTAGTCTTGTCTCTTTGACATTAAAGCAAAAAAATCATCTCTCAAACGATCCGACATGTTTTGTTATCGTTAACCAACCGACTACAGATTTGTCAACAAGAAATTACCACATTGAATTTGAATTTTTAGGAAAATTATGTTTTTCATGTTGTTTGTAACTAGAATTTTCAGAAGTAGTTTTGTATGCCTAAGGTCGGTTACCCCTTGTTGTTGACGTTTTCTGTCAATCTGTTGTCAACTATCAATTGAGGTATCTATACAAACTGACAGGTGACTTAACCTAAATTTTGACACTAGTTACGATATACTTTGTTTGTCACCAGAAACCAACCTAACTAAATTTATGGCAACCTATTCATAAATATCCTTAAATCCTAGGGAGTAATTTCTTGTTGATACGACAATAGTTTGATTTTCTTATTCCTTAAGAAATAATTAATTTGATTAGTTTTCTAATAGTTAAGTAGCAGAATTTTGAAAATTTTGACTTTGAGCAATTTTGCAAATGGTAGAATGAAACTATTTTTGCTGTCTTCTTAAGGTTAAAATCGGTAATAAATTACCGGTTCTCTTCATTGGCTTTAAGAAGGTGTTACACCAATGTCCAATATAAAAAAAAATCGGTTATTTTTAATTTTTTTGATGATGCAATTTTTATACATACATTTAAGCTTACTCTACCTTTTTGACACACTTGATATATAGTTACACCTTCTAAAAATGACTTAAGTTCCAGTGTTTTTTAATAAAATTAAAATACCAAACTTCTTCTGAAAATTAATGTTTTTATTTTTTTTGTTTAAAATGGAATTTATTTCATTATTATTTCGTTAAGCAATTAAATATTTATTTTATACATTGAGAATATTTATGGAAAATTTGAATGCTCTAAATTTTGCAACTTTGATTAACAAAGAAAAAAGTAATGTCACATAAATGACTACTTATAATAAGTAATCAATATGGTTAAGTTACCATTTCGTTATCAACTTATCACTTAAAGGTACAGTCGGCGCAATAAACATTGACACTCTCATAAAACCTATATCCATTTGTTTAGAGCTTAACAATGGATCAAATGTTTGGATTAAGTATACATCTTTAGTTTAGTATATTTTTAAGTTTGTTGTCTAAATCATTAGGGTATTATTCTTTTTTTTTTTTTTTCATTGATTGTAGCATTGAGTAAGATTAACAACACATATTTTTTATTCAGAATTATAAAGTAATAATCAAATTACCTAGCATGTGAAAAGTTGTGAAGGATGACATTTCAACTTCATTTAACAATTGATATGAAATATGTATGGGGTTCAGATTGGGAAATGGTCACTTCTGAACCTGAACTCTCGTATGTCATGTTTTTCAAAATTTGATAATTTTCTTATTGGCTTTCTGTTTGTTAAGGAGGATGATTGTGATCAAAATAGTATACAAACTTTGGTGATCATTGCTTTATTCGGTTTTTTACTAACCGCGGTGCATCGCGCCTTGGCTATCAAATTTCACCTTGGTAATTAAGCACCTTCCACCTCGGTATGTAATCTACTATTAATACCTAGTTTTCAATATACGGAAAAAAAGTATCATTAACAATATTCCAGAATATCTTAATGAGGAGCAGACTTTCAAAATGCAGTTTGTCTATTTTTTTATGAATTGAGATAAAGGTGACGCTGCAAGCTATATGCAATTGTCTTTTCAATGAACCTTTCAAATCGCGTTTTGTCTTATGTTAAAAAAATATGTCCAGTTGCCTGGACATTCAAACTGCATTTAGTCGCATGTGTTGATTCAAACAAAACGCGTTTTGTTCGTCAATTTTGGATTAAATGCAGTTTGTTTGTCAGTTGACGCACTACACTTAAAAAAAATAGAAATAAGCGCTACCAAAAGAATTTTTACTCAAAAGAAGTCATATTTTATCAACCAAGTACTCATTAAAACCGATGAAGAATGCGCATGTGCAGATGAGTAAGTGGTGCAACATGTACAAATTTCTTTATTAAGGATATACATATAAATATATAAAGGTCAGAATTTGCTTTTTAAAAGTCTGCTCTATTAATCTAACAATACGATCATCATATCATTAAGATCGTCATCTACAGGGTGTGTCAGAACTGGCGCCCCGTAGAAAAATTTCAAGTTAGATAAGATACCAGGAACATGGAAAAAATATTTAAAAAATTCTATCTGTCAAAAAATGTTGACATTTATTTTTTGACATTTGACATTTTTTATGTCTATTTAATGATACTGATGATCCTGTATATGTTTTTTTTATAATTATTTAGTAAAGGTACAAAAATTTTGCCAATAAAAGCCACAAATATAAACAGAGTTGCAATTTAGGATGCAGCTGCCTTGTTTTCTTTTCTAATAGTCTATAGCAAAAAAACTGGAAAATTATTTTTCCAATAGAAATAAATAAAGTCAAAGTGCAAAATTTAAACTCTCGTAACTTCGAAATTTTTATACATAGAATTTTTTTAACATTTTTTCCATGTTTCTGGTATCTCACCCTACATGGCATTTTTCTCTGGGGTGCGAGTTCTGGCGCACACTGTGGATGATTAGTCTGTATCCATGTAAAAAGAATGAACAAAAATATGAGTAAACCCGTCACACCTAACTAACTCAGTTAGTTTTTATTCTCACCTGAGGATGACCACGTTGTGGTTGAAACGCGTTGTAGTTGAAATAAAAGTTTGGTGTGACGGGTTTAATCGTGTTTTTGTTTATCGTTTCCATACCAAGAGGATCATCCAATAAGAAGTAGATGTATCCATGTTTGTTATCTGAGGTTTCCCTCCGGAACAATGCCACCTCATAAAAGTAACATTCATATCCTTTAAAATTTATTTTAAAAATTGTTATTTTTTGTAGATAGTTGATTTTACGTCATAGACAGACGTCTTTTCTCTTTATAAATATTGTGTGGGAGGTATTATTATCAAACACCCTCGAGTAACAGCCTAAAATAAATTTAGTACTTAATGTTGTTGTGGGTGTTACAAGTTTTTGTATGACTAGCTAAAAACAAATCTCATAAATTTTTGTTTTTACTTAATTTGTAACAAGTAGAATAAACGCGAAATATACAAATTCTTTTAATACATCATGATATTGGGGTGAGGGTTAGTTACAGGGTAGAGTCAACAATCAACCTTTCTTCCGGGTTTCAATTTTGAATAAATCTTTTCTCGTTAAACTGGTTTACGACTTGACAGCTACCAATCTGCTACTCTTTTAAATTAAAAAGTCAATAGAACAAGTGACAAGTTTTTGATCTACTTTTCAAACAAGAATTTGAATTGTACAAACTACAGGGTAGAAATAAAACTTTTTTCAAAAATGATTGGGAGGAGATGGTTTCAATTGAGATGAAGTTTTTGTATTGCAATACAAAAATGTATTATGTTGTCTTTGTCTTGAACTCATGTTTTAAAACACTGATATGAAGGTAAAAAGTTTTTTTTTAAATTTTTATCGATGTCTAAAGGACCGTGTTTTCAAATTGAAATTACTGTTAATGAATGAAAATAGTTAGTTTTAATATTAGTTCGAATTTGTGTTAGATGTGAATTGTGTGGTTTAAGTTAATAAGTTTTAACCATGTAATCAGCCGCTGATTATTTGAAAATAGTAATCATTTTTGAAAAGTGTGAGCATAACGCTACGGAGCAACTAGGATATTTTCTGAACGTTTTCCTGATAGAAATCGCTCAAGATATAAGGCCATATTGCTTCTAAAGAAAATATCTAAAAGTATTAGAGAAGTTGTTCATCAAAATGGAAATCGAGTTTTCAAAAATTTTCAACAATTTCTTTCGTCTCATTATATTTACTTGTGCACAACATCTTCAGCGAGAAAAATATTCGAAAATAGCGTGTTATGTCAACAACATGACAGAAAATTTATAAATGTAAAAATTATAGTAATTCAGCTATTTTTTGAAAATTTTAGCCAACTTAGTGTTATTTTTGTAACCTAGCAACGGATATAATTTTTCAATCACACCCTGAGGTGCCCTTCTGGGATTGGTTATGCAAGCAAAAGTTAGTTCTT